TTTTTTGGCTCAGGAATACCGGCCCTGAGCTAACATCTATTGCCAATCCTCCTCCTTTTTTTCTCTTTTTCTTCCCAAGGCCTCAGTAGATAGTTGTATGTCATAGTTGCACATCTTCCTAGTTGCTGTATGTGGGACGCCGCCTCAGCATGGCCGGACAAGCAGTGCATCAGTGCGCGCCCGGGATCCTAACCCGGGCCGCCAGTAGTGGAGTGCAAGCACTTAACCGCTAAGCCACGGGGCCAGCCCCTCTTCTTATGTCTTAAACTGAAGGACCCTGGTTTCACGATGGGAGTCCTCTGCTAGACTGCCCACCTTTTATGAACCTTTGCTTTTATCTCTGGTCCCATAAGCCTCTTCGATGTAAAAAAAAAAAAACAAAGTTCAAATTGATCGAGATTCACCTAATACTCTCGGGAGGAAATTGTTTTCATTATTCTTACTTCCCTAGCTTCCTGCCTTCACATAGTATTTGGTTTCTGAGAATTCTTATTTTCTTGTCAGCTAATGAATGTATTTTAAAAGATTTAAAATATTTCTATCTTACCCAGTATTTTAAATTATTTTCAGCTCGGCTGGGTTAGGTGGGTTTTGGTCTAGGTATTAATATGCATTACTGTGTCCCCCACTGAGCTACAAGAATGCCAGGACTTTGTCCTTTCAGTCAACGGCTGTATCCTCTGTGCCTAAAACAGTGTCTAGCATGTTTATTATTTCTTTAACGAGTGATTGGCTAAAACTCACTCCTTCCAGTTTTAAGGAAGTAATAGTGGTGACACAGTCAAAGACATGTGCAAAGATTTTTTACTACAAAGATTATAATTATTGTTTATAATGGCCCTAAAATGCTACCATTTTAAATGTCCAGCAATATGGGAGTGGTTCAATGTATTTTGGTACTTGTGTATAGTCATTATAAATAATTTTTGCAAGAATATTTAATGATGTAGAAAGATATTTATGATAAATTTGTCAGAAAAACTGCAGGTTTCAATATTAATAGTGGTTATGTCTATTGTAGGATCGCTAATGAATTTTTTGTTTTCTAATTTTTTTTTTTTTTTTTTGTGAGGAGGACCAGCCCTGAGCTAACATCCAATGCCAGTCCTCTTTTTTTGCTGAGGAAGACTGGCCCTAGGCTAATGTCCATGCCCATCTTCCTCTACTTTATATGGGACCTCGCCACAGCATGGCTTAACAAGCGGTGCGTTGGTACGCACCCGGGATCCGAACCGGCAGAACCACAGGCCACCGCAGCGGAGCGCACGCACTTAACCGCTTGCGCCACCGGGCTGGCCCCTGTTTTCTAATTTTTAATAACAAAACATGTAGTAGAAGTGATCTTTTCCAACATGTATATAATTTCCTCCCTATAATTGGTTTCAGTTTGGAATCTTTAAAAGATTTTTTTCAAAATTTAAAATATTTTATCTTAAAATATAAATGTTCATTCATTTGCTAATATTTCGATGTACGGGTAAAGCCTTCTCTTCTTGCCTAAAGCACGTGCATAATATATAGGCTGTGATTTGCAGGGTTTTTTTAATTTAAGGTGGAAGAGGAACTTAAACCACTTATGAAGAAATCTGAGTGTAGAATCATTGTAGATTTTTAATGTTTTCTTCTCTGTCGTTTCCAATTGTCTTGACTACGCCTATTTTGAAAGCACTTTTTCTCAATGACTTCCAATTTTTTCTAAAACATTTTTCTTTTTTCTAGAAACAATACCTATTAGTTTTGCACTCATATCTCATTAGTTTGCATAATTAATTTTTGTAATAAGTTGGAGAATCTTAAGTTGATTCCTGGGAAACGTATGGCTCAGTTTATGCAGAGGGGCAAAGTATGCTGCAGAGGAGCTTCATAACCCCAGCGAATGTCCAGGATGCCGCGCTTTTCATCCGTATATTTTGCAGAAGGAATGGGGAGTTAATACAGTGAGCTGCTTAAGACAAAGTCTACTACGTTTTCTAAGACCTAATTGTTTTTTTTTTTATCTTAGGTGGTATGTTTTAAATTCTATCAGATGCAAAAAGAGTTGTAATTACTGCAATTCAGGCTCAGGATATAAGAAGAAATACTGTTAATCAGAACGTCTTTCCCTTTCTCCCTCTCTCCTTCTCTAGGTGGGTCCTATGTGTATGAGCTCAGTGCAGTTCTCATACACAGAGGAGTGAGTGCCTATTCTGGCCACTACATTGCCCATGTGAAAGATCCACAGTCCGGTGAATGGTATAAGTTTAATGACGAAGACATAGAAAAGATGGAGGGGAAGAAATTACAACTAGGGATTGAGGAAGATCTAGGTAAAACCTTTAAGTTGTGAGTGCCCTTTTAAAATATAAATTTTTTTTTTACTGGAAATATTTGTGATAAGTTGTTATGGCCCAGGATTGTTATGGATTGTCAAGGATATTTGCATTTCTTAAACACACATAAAATCTCTGAACATCTTTTATTAGCAATGCTGAATTTTTAAAAAAATGATTTTTGCTCCAGAGATCATTTCCATAGTGTCGTGTTTTCAGTGCAGTTTGAAGGCAAATATTTAATTTTCAATTATCAGGTTAATTGTGGGTGGGGATGGGAGAGGATAGTGAGTATTAAGCTAAAAATGATGAACAGTAGATTTAATACAGTAAGATTTGTAGTCCTTTTCTCTGGGTCGGGAATTTTATTTTGGGATAATAACGGTAGCAGGGGAACTTTACTCCAAGAACAGTGTCTACGCCTCCCTGTTAAGTGTCTTATCCCAACCCTGGAGCATGGAGCAGTGCGTGTGGGGGGTAAGCTGCTCGCTGCTCTGTGGTGATGAGGTCTGCCATAAACAGTACTTCATATCGGATCCTAGTATGTAGGTCTCATCACCTCGTTTTCCTGGGCCAAAACACCCACTCATTCCCTAAAAGAGTGAACATTTCTTCTAGTAGGAGCCATCTTGGCTGAGGTTTTGATCCCTTTCTTACCACGTTTGTCATTTTTGGGTGAGCTTCTGACTATGGGATAAATAAGAGAAAAGAAATGGGAATAGGTGTATGTCTTCTGCCACTGTTCGTTCCTAATGGATCAGAACCACTTTTCCAAGGTGTCCGACAGGAAGGAGCGTGGCGATTGGAACTGACCTTCAAAGGCATTTGGGTAATCTTTCTGCAGATACTCATGTGGTGACTATATGCTTGTAATTTGGAGAAGTATTTTCTATTTTTAAATCACATTTAGTTGTTTATAGATATTCAGCAATCTTGTTCTCACTTTAAGTAATACTCAAGATCTTAACATTTGCTTATATGTTTTCTTATTGTGATACTCTTACTAGAAACGAAATTGACATGTAGCTTTAAATTGAATAATTTTTGTTTCGTTTGACTGTTCTTTACTCATGTTTGTTTGATCTATCTTATTTTTAGTCAGAGAATTCTAGGATTAAAAGCATTGTTAATGTGGTGCTATCCTCTACATATAGGAAGTCCTAACTTCTAAAACTGTTCAGGAGAAAGAGACTCTGCACCTATCAGGATCCCATTTCCAGTGTTTTAATATCTCTCCCTGTTACATGCGACTTACAGTGCAGCTTTCATCTGTTGTTTTCTTTTTATCAAAAATAGCAGCTACTCGTTCATTAAATTCCACTAGTCATTCATCACCGTATTCTATCATGAATTTTTATGAATCATTTTATATTCGATCTTATACAGAATAATGAACATCTTAATCTTAATTCTTTTCAGTTAGAAATGACCAGCCTTCTCTTCCCTGTACATCCTGAGATTTTTAATTCCCCATGACAGTGGTCTTCAGACTTTTTTGTTCCTATATTCTCTATAAGAATAGTGAGCAACTTTGTATTCCTTTGTTCATTTTATTTTATTTTGCTTTATTTTTATGAGGAAGGTTGGCCCTGAGGTAACATCTATTGCCAGTCTTCCTCTTTTTTGCTTGTGGAAGAGTATTGCTGAGCTAACATCTGTGCTAATCTTCCTCTATTTTATGTGGGATGCCTCCATAGCGTGGCTTGATGAGCGGTGCATAGGTCCGCACTGGGATCCAAACCTGCGAACTCTGGGCTGCAAAAGCGAAGCATGCACACTTAACCACTATGTCACCAGGCCAGCCCCCCGTTGCTCCTTTTATTTATTTATTTATTTTTTTTAATTTTATTTATTTATTTTTTTCCCCCAAAGCCCCAGTAGATAGTTGTATGTCATAGCTGCACATCCTTCTAGTTGCTGTATGTGGGACACGGCCTC